AAAAACTAATTTGATGTCTGTATTGGGAGTGCATTGAACATGTAGGTTGCTTTTGGTAGGATTGTCATTTTCACAATATTGTGTCTTCCTATCCACGAACAGGGCACATTTTTCCATTTATTTAGGTCTTTTATTGTGGCTGGCAGGAATGTTCTGTAGTTTTCTTTGTATAGGTCTTTTGTGTCTCTAGTTACGTTCACTCCCAAGCATCTTAATTTGTGGTTGGCTTTTGTAGAGGGTATTGCTTTCTTGGTTTCCTTCTCTGAGTTCTCTTTGTAAATGTAGAGGAATCGCAGTGACTTTTGGGTATTAATCTTAAATCCTGTCACTATACTAAATTGGTATTCTACCTCTAACAGTTATTTTTGTTCAGTCTCTGGGGTTTCCTGTGTACACTATCATATCATCTGTTTATAGTGATAGTTTAACTACCTCTTTCCTGATCTGTATGCCTTTTATTTCCTTCTCTTGTCATACTGCCCTAACAAGTACTTCCAATACAATATTGAATAGAAGGAACACAGACATTTAAACTCTTTGAGTCTCAGTTTCTTCCCCTGTCAGTTTCCTAATTTGTAGAATATAGACTGAGACCATGAGAAATATAATTTGTTATGTGACATTGAGTTGCCTATTACTCACAGTTACCCTATGCACAACAACTATGAAGCCTGCCCAGTCCAGAGCTAGTCTCACAGATTCCAACACACCTAATCCCATCACCTCAGTTATCATGTTAGTCCATCTCAGCTGGGGGTCTCCCTCTCCTGTGCTGTCCCTCTACCCTTCTAAGCATGATGTCCTTCTCCAAGGACTTGTTCCTCCTGGACACGTGCCCAAAGTATGTAAGACAGAGTTTGAAAATTGTAACTTCCAAAGAGAAACTTGGTTTCATCTTCTCCAAAACAGGCCTATTTGTTTTCTTGGTGGTTCATGGTATGTTTAAGACTCTTCTTCAGCACCACAACTCAAAGTGTTCAATTTTTCTTCTGTTATCCTTAGTCATCATTAAGCTTTCTGATGCGTAGTAAGTAATTGTGAAGATCATGGTCTGAATCTAGTACACCTTAGCTTCTAGACTGACAATGTTGCTTCTCAGTACTCTGGAGAGGTCTCTAACAGCAGAATTTCCCGGAGCAATTGTCTTGAATTCCTGACTGATTGTGGAGGCAAGTAAGCTGTAATTGTTAACAACCTCAATCTCTTCTCCGTCTATTATGGGGCTGCCAGTTGTCTTCTTGATGCTGAGCTACAGTCCTTCACCTTTTGCAGTCTCAGTTTCAGCAAGTAAGGTTGTGTCATCTGCATAACATAAGCTGTTGATGAGTCTTCCCCTAATCCTGATGTCATATTCCTCCTCATAAAGTCCAGCCTCCTGAATGATCTATTTTGCATATAAATTGAAAAGGTATGGAGGCAAAATGTATTCCTGATGCACTCCTTTCCTGGTTTTAAACACAGCAGCATTTCCCTGCTTTGTTCTGAGGACTGCTTCATGGTCTGAGTATAGGTTTCACGTGAGCACAATCAAGGGATCTGAGAATCCCATTTTTCTCAAGTTTAGCCATAATTTGTTGTGATCCACACAGTCAAATGCTTTGGCATAGTCAATGAAGCACAGATAGACATTCCTCTAGATAAAAACAAACAAACAAACAAACAAACATAACAACAAACCCCCACCAAACACAAAAAAACACAAACCACAGAAAAACAAGCTGCCAACTATGAATCAAATATCTCTGTGAATTTCATTCTTCCTATCAGCTTATGTTGAGGTTAGCTTGGAGAAGTATGTCAGCTGATCAGTGGGCAGCTGGAATCCACCACTTGCTCCCAGGGAGGGAAATGGCCAGTTTCCTCTCATGGATATGCACAGCCTTGGAGGGTGGTTATGAGGTGAAATCCACTTGATAGCAGTGGTACTAATTCCCTACAGTAATCAGCCAAGACAGCTCCCTAACCGGTGATGGGAGTCACTGCAGAATGGGGTGAGTATGCATTTCCTTGTAGAGAAGGATATATAAATGTCAGTTCATTTCTAGGTTGAGTTAATGCTTTCTGGTGGTGTTTCTGAAAATGTATTTACTCTTCCAGATTGTTGACATTCATATCTCCCACGTTAGGCATATAACTCCACTTTTAATTAAAAAAATATTTATGTTGGCATAGAGCAATGGTGTTTAATTTTAAAAGCTACCATGTATGAGAATGATAGTAAGAAATACAACATGAGTAAATCAACAACAACAACAAAATCCCAAATAAAACTATTTAAAGAAATTTCAAATCACATGTTACTGGACAGGCAGTGTGCTGGAATTTAGATATGATAAGATGAATTAAAATATAGTTCTTTAACTCTTCGAATAGTAGAAATATCAACAAGTTCTAACACTTCCCTTTAAAATATGACTTTTACTTTCAATACAGTACGACCTCTGAAAAATAAACATGGATTTAAAATTTTTGGAAGATGACATTTTAGCTCCTTTTTTTTAAATTTATTTATTGTGCGTGTACTGTCAAATCAAATCTGACTGGTACAGGAGGGAAATTTTCCTTCCTTCTTTGGCAGAGCATCTGGTGGATTTGAACCGTGTACCTCTGGGATTGCAGTACAGCTTCTTGCCACTAGTTAGTTGCTTTTTAAGAATAAAAATTAAACCCAGTTAAAAGAAATTGCCCAGCTAGCTATGATTCCTTCAACCATTTCTGCATGTGGTTCTATGTTTTTAAGTACTAGCTAATTACACAAACTCTGTATTTTCCATTCATTTAATTATTACACACATATATATTACATAGATACTTATGTGTGTGTTTATTTATGTATTTGTTGTGTGTTTATATATATATATTTATATAAAAAGTTTAATTCAATCAGAACCACTTAAAACTTCTAAGGAGGAAGTGCGCTCTCCTCCTTCTTCCTCATATCGGAAGTTGCTAGGGGAATGCCAAGGGTCTTTACTAAAAATGCAGTGTTATTTTAAAAAATGCAGGCATTTCTACGAAAGGGGAATGAAACATTAAGAAGAATTTCCTTTTTGCATTTAATGAAGGAAACATGCACACACAAAAGCGGGAGGAAGAGGAGAAGAAGAAAATTGTCACCATCATCACTCTCATCAAGACCTCAAGAAGCACTGTCACCACCCCCACCTCCCCCACCTCCATGCACTCTATCACCACCTCCACCTCACCACCTCCACCTCCACCCTATCTTCTCCCCTCCCCCCACCTCCTTTCTCCCCATCCCATCTCCACCTCCACCTCCACACTCACCTCAACCTCCACCCCCACCCCACCCCTACTTCTACCACCTCCCCCACCTCCACCCCTACCTCCACCATCACATCCACCTTCACCTCCACCGTGACTGCCACCACCCCTACCTTCACCACGACCCCTACCCCACCTCCACCTCTACCACTATCATCATGACTCTCACCTTCATCCCCACCCCCACTTCTACCATTACCCCCCACACCTCCACCATCTCCATCCCACCCCAACCTCCACCCCCACCCCAACAGACACCCCCTCCTCCACCACCTCCAACCCCCCACCTCCACACCTCCAAAACCCCACCTTCACCACTTCCAATCCCCACCACCACTACCCACACCTCCACCACAACTCCAATCCCCACCTCCACCACCTCCTCCACCACCACCACCATCCCACCACCACCCCATCATTACCCCTACTTCCACCACCTTCACCATCATTCTTTCCACCTCCTCGACTATTTCTACCACCCCCACCTCCACCATCACCCCATCTCCACTATTACCACTACTACTATCTTCACCACTACCACCATCATCACTTCCCCACCATACGGTCAACCCCACTCCCAACATCACCCCCACTCCCACCCCACCTCCACCGCCACCTCCACCACTACCATCACCACCCATCACCACCCCACCACCATCACCACCCCCATCTCCACCACCACCACTTCCACCTCCGCCATCACCACTACCAGCTCCACATCACCCCCATCTCCACTACCACCATCACCACCCCACCACCATCAACACACCCTCTCATCCCCCTCTCACCTCCGCCCCCCCCCACGTCGGTCCCCCCAATCCCCGCCCCCACTGTGATCAAGTAAACTCTGATTTATAGTGAAGCTACAGGACAGAGTAGAACTGCTCCATATCGGGTCCAGAGCTGTACTCTTGAAGGAGGCACAGTGCCTGCCACATCTTTCTTTGGCAGAGATTGGAACTCTGACCTTCATGTTAACAGCAGCCACAGTGGTTATGCCATCGCGGCACCAGGGCTTCCAGGGCGCATCAAAGGGCCATTTCAAGTCTCAGAAGTGCCACGTGAGTCTTTGGGATAACATCAACTTCAAAGGGAGAAAAAAGAAAGAAGCAAAAAGGAGAAAACGCACTTGTTGGGTCAGAAGCTGTTGAAAGCTCAGGGCCTGGAAGCCTCCTTCGCAGGGTGGCGATTGTTTTGGGTTCTCTGGTGACTCCTCGCAAAGTTTCTTCTCTCCGTTCTGCACGCCCCGCCTCAGTCACCAAACCGGGGCGTCTACCAGAGAACGCCTGCCTATATATCTAGACCTGAAATGTGTCCCACAGCACAGACACCAGTGCATCTGTTTCCAGAGCCTACACACTTAAACCATGTTTGCACGTCATGTTTGCACCCACACCCAAGGAACTGCAAACGACGCCTGGGAAGCTTATCTTGCAAACTTGGGGTTCAGAGTGTGCAGGAACAATAGTAAATCAGAGCCAACCGCACACGTCTCTTCCATGAGCAGTCGCCCCTGGCCCGCAGCCCCAGGCCAAAATTGGGACGGGAGCCGTAGTCCCGAAAAGGCGCGCTGCCCCTTTAAAAGGCCGCGCATCTCCGGGCCGGCCTTCCTCCCCGGGGCTCCAGCTGTGATTGACGCTGGGCGGCGAGAGGAGGCGCCTGGCGCTAACAAAAGTCCGGCCCGCGGGCGAGCCGCACGGGGCCGTGCGTCTCTGCTCGCTCGGGGCACCCGCAACAAGTGGCCGTCGCGCCCTCCCCGGGGAAGGTGTGTGCGCGCAGGGGCGCCTGGAGGAGGCCACCGAGCCCGAGCCTGGAGCGCCCGCGAAGCGCTGCGCCCACCGCCTGGGGATCGGGCAGGCGGATGGGGACCCGGCGGCGGCGGCGAGGCCAGCCTCTGGGCGGCCCCGGGGCGCGGACTCCTCACCGCGCTGCGCCCTGCATTCCCGAGTGCGGATTCTAAGGAGAGCTACTGTCTTTGGCCGGTCTGGAAGAACCGGAGTGGCAAGAGGTGACTGAAAGCGTCCTCTTCGGAGTGAGGGCCATTTGGCCATAGCTCGGTCGGGAGGAGCGTGGGGAATGTGCTGCTAAAAGGTCCCGCCGGGCGGGCTTTCCTGTGCGGAGCGCGCGGGCCGTGCGCCCCAGAGATGGAGTGTCCAGGGAGACGGCGGGCATGACGGCGACAGGATGGGCGCGAACAATGGCAAGCAGTACGGCAGTGAGGGTGAGTGGCCCGTCCGTCACCGGCTCCCGGATCGCGCCCCCCTCCCCCTTCCTCGCACCCTCTGGCCTCGGGAGGAAGGCTTTTACACACTGCCAGGGGCGCACCCCTGTGTGGGTACCCTTGCGGGCCATCACCTTCCCCTTTGCCGCGGCTTTATCACGGCCCCTGAGGATGCTTCCCCATATTGAGGGCTCTTGAAGACGCTTTCTAGGCTGTCTTTGGGACTGGTTAAGTTGCACTCTCGCTGTGTATTTTCGGAACACATCCTCGTATCTTAACCTCCCTTCTGTAGGCATATGGGTTAGGATGCTGGTTTGGCAGTGGACCGAAGACGCCTTTGCAAAAGAACTCAGGGCAAACTTTCCCAGGCCTTTGTGCTCCAGTTGATTGGACTCTCGTAGCAGGAAAAAACTTTTGGAAGCAGAAGTTTCCTTTTTCTGTTCACCGCCCCCTAGCTTGACAGCTATCGTGGAGCTGGCCACCTAGAAGCCCCCGCAAAGCGAGGGGTGGCTCGAGACTTTGTCTGGACTCTCGGGGCTCAGGGTGGGCACAGGACCATCTGTTCTGTGGGGCTGGAAATTGCACAGAAATATTGCCTGTCAAGTGGGAACTTGGAAGTTGGGGGAAACTTTAAACTCCTCCCACTCCTAAAAGAATGATGGATGGGTAGGCTGGCTTCCCCTTCGCCCCTCCTCCCCCTCTTTGCATAAGACGTTAGTGTTCTAGCCCAATTGATTAACTGCATGCCCCTCTTGTGCATATGGCAAAGGCATTTTCCACAGTTCAGAAGTCAGGAGGATTTGTCTTTGCTGAACTCCACTGAAGGGCGGGGAGAGAGCAGTGGGAGAAATAGGGTTCGTTTTGCAGTCCGCCCCCCAAAAAGAGGCGGTCACTAAAGTGGGGGCCGTGCTCGCTCGCAAACTGGTAGGAATGCAGAAAGGCCCTTAGTCTTGCGGTGGTGCGAAGACTTGGCTCTCCCCTCTTGAAATGCTGAGCCCTGTCTGGAGAATGGGTACATCTCGGCGTCAGTTTGTGCCTGCTTTACAGCCGAATCCTTCCAGCCTTAAATCGCTCTTCCTGGGGTCATCAGGTTTTGAGCTCCTTGTATGCGTGGTTTTCATAAGTTACACCAACAGGCTGCTTGGAAAGGGTCGTTTTCTTTAGCCTAGGACAACGATATGCAAATTCCCCTTTTATGAAAAAAAGAAATTTTAACAATCCATTAAAAGTTGTCTTTTCAGGTAGCTAAGAAGTGCCCTCCCCCGCCCCCCCAAAAAAAAGAAGAAAGATTTTTCACGGGCTTCTGGCCACTCCTCCAAAGTTTTTTAAAGTTTCTGTGTTTGAGACATTTTTTGCGAAAGGAAAGCTGAAGCCCCCATTCCCTGCGTCTTCAAAAGCTTTCAGCGGCTGGAGTGTGAGCTTGTCAATTTCGGTTGTGTTTTGGAGTTCTGGCAACCCAAGAGGTTCAGAGACTCACTTCTGTGCCTCCTGGAACAAACCCCCTACATGCTCTTTCTAATCCCCTGCAACCCCTTCTTCCATCCCAGCTTTCTCGCATCGTGCAGTGTGTGGTATATGACGACTTCCTGTCTGAACAGCAGAATTTTCAACCCCTGGGAGAGAGAGGCAGAGACAGGGAACTAATGTTCTCCAGCTGTTGCCCGTAACTGCTACCTCTGCATTTTCACTTCAGCTCGAGTGAAATTTTACTGGGATTGGGTTTAGATACACTGTGGACTTTTTACAAGGGGTGGAGGGGACCCTCTTGTGCTCAGCTGATGCGAGGACTTCCATGGGAAATTTGGGGAGTTAGCTGTATGCTTTGCTTAAAAGGGGATGCATTATGTTTCCTTTGCATCAACTCTTTTCAAGGGCGCCAGCTTTGCACCTAAATAGGGGTCCGGTGCCCACTACCTTTAATTCATTTCTAAATCACGATTACCCACTCTCCATTGAGATGCCAAAGCTGGGAATCGTCGTGAGGAAAAGACTGGCCTGCTGTTCTCTGACGAAGCAGCTGATGGCATTGAACTGCTGACTTGTAGCAATCCAGCAGGTAACAACACACTTTGCTGTCAGGACTCCTCATGTTATGGTGGGCGGTGCTAACTGAATAGTCAGTGGGATGGACCCGCTGGGAGAGACATGAGGCATTCTGCTTCCGTCAAGATTTATAGCCTTCCACATCCCGGGAGGCAGTTATATTCTTTCCTATAGAGTTGCTATGAATTGGAATTGACTTGAGGGCAAGAGTTTGGGTTGATGTTTAGTTTCTGGTTATGGGGTATGTAATTGGGTAAGGTCAACCTTGTTCGACTATATCACTGAATTGTAAAATCGATCCAGACAGGCCTATTTGGAATTTGGTGTCTCTGTGTCATTTTTCTCATCCAAATCGCCCCATTTCAGAGAAAGGGAACAGAACCGTTAGCTATCCTCACTCTGATCCAGGCAGCCTGAGAATGAAGACGCATTTAGGGGAGGGCAAAGATTCCATATTGGGTGGAGCAGAAGGTTAAAGGCTTGGCGACCGACCAAAAGACTGGTGATTGGAGGCCTGATGGGACTCAAATCCTTTGGTTTTGGCTGCTAACCAAAAGGTTAGCATGTGCCTTTCAAGGTCTTCTCAGAATTGAGTAACTCCATTCATTATTGCTATGCTTGGTCGTTATCTGTTTCTTGAGAGTGAGGACATTTGATATATTCCCTTCACAGACCCCTTCAAGGGTATTCGCTTTTTTAAAGACACCAATATATTTTGTAAGCAGGAGTGGCGACCAATTCCTAAATAACATGCCTCTGGAAACTCTGTGAACTTTGATAAATGTTGTTAGTTGTAGAGGGACTTCAGGCCTTTTATTCAGAGGGTCACTATGAGTTGTGCTCAACTGGAAGCAATCAACAACAACATTACATAAATAGGAACATTAAGGCTATTATTGCACTGATATCAGTAAATACTCCTCCCATTTTTTTTCTTCTCTCCCTTCTCCTCTGTTTTCACTCCTTCTCATGTCTCTTCTCAGCTCAAACCAAAACAACAAAAATGATGGCCATCAAGTCGATAACTGACTTACAGAGACGGAGGTTAGCTTCCTGAGATTGCAATTCTGAACTGGAGCAAACTGCATTTTCTTTGTCCTGTAGAGGGATGGCTGGGGGAGTTGAACTGCTGACCTTTGAATTAGTAGCCCAACACTTAACCTGCTACTATGTGGCATCCCCCCTCCCTTTTGCCTAGATTCACAAGGGCACTCAACAGTGATGATTTGGGGGCAGGTCGTGTGTGGACACTGGGTGTTTCCAGTTTGCTAAGTTGTCTTAGGTGTTAGTGATATTCAGGTGAGTTGTCCTACCTCTCGTGGTGGCACTCACTCTCTATGGCCCTTAAAGAGTCTTTGGCTTTGCTTTTGGTCATTAGCTTTCTAGAAATATAAGTGAGCATGTAAATGGTGAGAATGCTCTTATAGAACTCCTCTGTGGAGAGCTAGGCTTCAAATTTTCACTTTAAAAAAAAAAAAAGTATGAGTTCCAGCCTTGGTGGAAATCAGCAGAATGAGTTGGGGGCACTCACAGCCATTAAAACCATTAGCCAGAACTCCGGTTAAACCAAATAAACAAATCTGTGTGAGTGGAAGAGAGGAGCCTCTTTCTCTCTGCCTTTTAAGGCCTCAGAGCCTCCCCTCTGCTGTCTGGCTTGGGGGCTTCATGGTTGTGTTTATGCTGTTCCTCCAGGTCCCAGGCAGTAGCACTTACACAGTTACCAGCTTCTTTGTGATGTCCAAGATGTTGTTTAATTGAAGCTGATGAGGCCACAGTTAAGGTGTTTGACCCTGAGTCTTACCATCTGCTTCTCTAGTGTTTTGAGGGCTCTTTTCCCATCGTAGGTCCATGCTGCCAGTGCGGAGGAGGCCCGATGTCCTGAGCGTGTAAATGCTCACCAATCCATCAGCACCTGGGGACGCATCTCCTGCCATCCTAATAGGGACGTTTGTTGAAAGCTTGCTTTATACATGCGTGATTGGAAGCTCTTGATGCACACTTTGTTCATCTTCGCAGCCCTCCTGTGGCTCAGACATCCGCAGGTTCCCTATTTTACAAGTGATGGAACACAGGAACAGAGAGGACCCACATTTTCCCAAGATTACACAGCTGCACCATGCGGGGTGTGGAGTCTGGACCCAACACTCATGACCTCTGCCAAGTCAGTCATTCATTCAGCAAGTGAATCTGTGTTGTCTTCCAATTTTATACGGAGTTGAGAACTGTGTCTAGAGTCTTGATATGTGTATGGAAACAGATAAAGGTCCCTGTGCTTTTGTGTTGGGAGGGAGAAAAAGGAAGACCCCCCTGACACACACACACACACACATACACACACAAAAGTTAACATTTGGACCAGGAGCTTACAGGGAGGAGAAATGGAGTCTTGAGTCAATGTGTTGGCTGTCACATTTAACCACTGTGTTGTACTGAGTTGAATAGTCTTTGTACTTAATGGTATAAGCCATCAATTTTATTGTTGTCGTTATTATGTGCCATTGAGTCACTTGTGACTCATAGGGACCCTATGTACAAGAGCCCTAAACACCCTTCTATCCTGTGCCAACCTAGCCATCTCAAACACACTCATTCCCACCACTCCAGTCACAGAATCAATCCATCTCATCGAGGGTCTTCCTCTCCTGTGCTGTCCCTCCACTCTCCCAAACATGATGTCCTTCTCCAAGGACCAGTTCCTCCTTGCATCATGCCTAAAGTATGACAGATGAAGCTTCAGAATCCTTGACTCCAAGGAGCATTCTGGCTTCACCTTCTCTAGGACAAATGTGTTTGTTTTCCTAGCAGTCCATGGTATAGTCAACACTCTTCTCTAGCACCACAGCTCAAAGGCATCAATTCTCTTTCTATCATCCCTATTCACTGTCCAACTCTCTGATGCATAGCACGTAATT